CATAAACACATTGCATTACACCAAATACACCAAATAATGTTCTTTTTAGCAACGTCATATGACCCCTTTAAAGAAATACAACAAAATAGAACATAAATAGTGTATTGGAGTGTATCTTCGATGATACCGCTAAGTTAATCATTATCTGTATTTTGTTGTGATTGAATAGCAGTTTCTCTCTGCAGATGATGAGGTTGTAGGATGTGACAGCATCTGAAATGCACAATTGAGTTTAGATATACAGTGTGTCTCCTTTCATTTGTTTATGTGAAAACAATTGTTTATGAAGGCCAAAAGTATGTGAGCACGTCACAATGTTAAAAGAAAAAAGTGATATAAAGTAATGGGATAGTTTTAATATTTTTTGTGACTGGGTATGTTTATACATAAACCCAAGTAATAATTAAACAAATCTAACAATATGAATTATAAATTAATTGTCTCTTTTACTTACTTAGTGGAAAAGAGGAGAGAAGTTTCCACAGCTGCACACACTTATATGTGACCAAAAACAAACAAAAAAGATAAGAACATGTTTGTTTGTTTGGAAGCAAGTTACATTTTTAAAGTTAAATTTGTATTTACATTTTAAGAATGAAATAATTTACCTGTTGAGAGTGTGTTGACAGTCTGTGTAGATGGATCACTGAACTCCAGAAAATCAGTAATGAGGTGCTTTGTCAGTTACATATTTGAAAAACAAAAGGGCGGGAATAAAGAACCCTAAACTCTAACACAAAGAACCATTTCAGCATGAAAGGGTTCAGAATGCTATGGTTCTAAATAAAACCATTACTGCATGTAAAGAACCTTTAAAGAACCATCTTTTTTTTAGAGTGTATTTTTGAAAAAAAAAAAAAATGTCATTCTGAAAATATAATTATATTTTTATTAGTGCTGTCAATCGATTCCTAGGATGACTTGAGGGTGAGTAATTTGTGGGCTAATTTTTATTTTAAAAATAACCCTTTAAAACAATCTTCACATAAACCCATTATAATAAATGTCATATATACCTGTGCCCTTCAGCAGAAATATATTGAAATTGATTGAAGTTATCAAACACTAAATTCTAAATTAAATATAGATGAATCCTTAAAACTATAAAAGCATTTAGATGAGGGAGACAGTGCTGGGCTGCTCCAGGACAGTTTTGAAAACCATTTCAGAGACGTTCTTAAATGTGACTCATATAAATTATATTACATGCATGCAAAGTTTTAAGGCAGCTTTAATCGCCTTTTTGGTAACTTCATGACTTAACTAACCACGACATTGCATGCACGTAGTATATTTCGCGCTTTGATATGAAAGGATACAGGCTACAGTACCGTTACCGCGCTCGCTTGACTCAACCCTAGCCCAACCCCTGCGTTAATTGCGTTAAATATTTTTAACGCGTTAAACTGATTTTTTTTTAAATTAAATAACACGTAGGCCCTACTCCCTATCTACAGGCCCTACCGTTCTCATATCATACATAACTGTGATGTTCTACAAAACAACAAGCTTTAAAACACTTTTTTTCTTACTGCTGAAAATTAGATAATTTACTGTGAAATCCGTTTTCTCTCCGGTATATCACCAGTGTAGGCTTCATGGTGAAAACTTCTACATCACTCTCGTCAACTTAGTCCGTAGTTACAATTAAAATGTTTCTTGCCTTTATCTTGTGGTTATTTTGGGAAAAACAGTAGGGGGGCGTTTTCCCCCACTCTACCCTAACATGTGTGAAAATGGCAATGTTTAAAAAAAAACTTACCACGTAAACCAAAAATTCGCAATCGATATGCCACTATTCAACAGTTTCTCTCAGACGCTGAAACTAAACTGTGTGTGAAAGTTTTTTCGACTTTACAGAGCGCATTAATATTTCATGAGTTAACTGTTGTTTAGTTTAAGACTGGTTGTCAAAAGATACTCCTTACCCTTTCTACAGAATTATAAGTGTGAAATATTGTCAAACCCATGACTAAAATGGGCCTTAAGGGAAAAAGTTCCAACAAAAATGAAAATTTGCTGAAAATGTACTCACCCTCAGGCCATCAAAGATGTAGATGAGTTTGTTTCTTCATGGAAACAAGCTTGTAGAAATTTACCATTATTACATCACTTGCTCACCAGTGGATCCTCTGCAATGAATGGGTGTTGTCAGAATGAGAATCCAAACAGCTGATAAAAACAATAATAATCCACGGCACCCATTCACTGCAGAGGATCCACTGGTGATGTAATGCAACATTTCTCCAGATCTGTTCCCATGAAGAAACTATTCCTTTATTACACTACCCAGGGTGAAAAAAAGAGTATACTTGAATGCTATACTTGTATACTTGAAAAAGACTTAAATACCAGCAAGTACATTTATAGTACATTCTTATTTTTTTTGTGCTAAATACAATTGTAAAAGTTATACACTATAAATACACTAATTAAAAGTCTATTTCTACTTTAGTAGAACTTCAGTGAGATTGCAAAAGTATACCAAATACCACTGATTTTTAAATAGATTTTTAGTACATTGAAATAAAGTAGACTACCGCAAAAATATTCAGAGGACTTTTATTAGTGTATTTCTAAAAAGCGTGCTTTGAATGATTAAAAAATTAGTTCACTTTTATATAGTTATCGTTTAAATTAAATTGATTTTATTTAACATGTATTAGTAAAGTAATAGTTATAAGTACATTTTCCCAACTGTACTACTTAAGTACACTTGATATAAATACACTTTTTTGTACAAGTGGTAAGTAAATACATTTTTTTAGAGAGAGAAAGTATGTTAAAAGCACATTTTAGTTCATATTCATGGTGTCCCAAAATAGCACAGTTGGGTACACTTAGATGTTCTTAATCTTTATTATCTTCTTAAATTATCTTAAGAAGTGCTAAAGAATAGTTTTTTGTATATTAAGTACAAAATTAGTGTGTGGAAATAGAACATTTTAAGTACATTATGGAAGTGTACTAAGTGCACTTAAATAAAGTGTATTTTACTATACTTTTTTTCACCATAATGTATAACATTGGAATAAATGCTCAACTATCCATTTAGTTTCCATCCATTTTCTGGGTCAATATTAAGACAAATGTTAGCATGTAAAAGTACATTTAGTTCATCCACATTTTGGATGGCCTGAGGGTTAGCAAATTTTCATTTTGGGGTGAACTATTCCTTAAACACAATGTAAAATGCCATTTAATGAACATTTATTTGATACACTCTTCACAGACAGCGTCAAAGCTAGACTGGAGGATCCAAGAGACAGATGCGCTGGAAAAGTGTCACTGTTTTACGCTGGGAAGTGGACACCCATCTGTCAAGATAGTCTTGATACAAACCTTAAAAATGCAATCTGCAAGGAACTATTTTGTGGGAAGAGCATAAATGACGAATATGATTGGATTTCGCTTGAAGAGTCTAAATCCACAGGACTATCGAGAATTAAATGTCTGGATAGTGCCAACTCTGTTTCCAAATGTGACCTCGAAGGGATTTCAGAGAAAGAATGTATTGTTGGCTATCTGAAATGCACAGGTACTCACCTTTTTTATTTTTGTGCAGACTTGAAAACATTTCTCTTGTGAAGGAAATTTTTGTGATCTCAGCAAAGTTTGATTTGTATCCTTTTGAGAACAAAAAGTACCAACACTTTAGCCAAAGTTAGTTAGTGTGTTGCCATAACAGATGCATATGGACAAGGTGACTAGATGTCTATCTGAATGTAATAATAACCATAACAACCCATGACTTGAGTAACAACCTGAAGTAATCATAAATTAAATTTGCTTTGCCTATGGGTTTTCCTGAATTGCACATGAAGAACCAATTATGTTAGAGATAAATGGTGTAATAATGTCATCTTTGCCAAGTAGTCTTGGTTCTCCAATGCGGTCAGACAAGTCACCTGAAGATAATTTAACTTTTAAGGTTTGTCAGGTGCGTAGGGGAATTTTTACCACACTCTCTAGGTGAGGTGTGTAGTTTCTGCAACTCCTCTGACCTTTGACCTCTGCTCCTGCATGAAACAAGGTCTTTGATATTTCTGCCCTTCATGTAACAGATTGGGAACGATTGCTCCTCTATAATAAGGAAGGCGAATGCAGTGGTCCAGTATATGGTCTGCGAGATGGGAACACACAGCAAGTCAGCGGGCTTGGATGGGGCAGAGAGGAAGGCCAAAAGCTGTGCGAGTATCTACAGTGTGGAAATTACATATCACACTCCACTATAATCAAAAACACGAAAGAGTGGTGGAAGAAGACCTATAATTGCTCAGGGAAGAATAATATTTGGGAATGCGAGAGTAATGATCAGCCCATCCAGAATCAGCAACAGTTAAACATCCAGTGTGACCGTAGGAATGATCTCTTTCTTACTTTTGTTAGCATCCCTAACACTGTCAACTCGAATTAAAGTATATGAACAGAATAGATATATAGATTAAAAAAGGCATTGCCAATTTAATTCTGAATCATTAAGATACTATCACAGTTTTTATTAATCTTTTGAATTCGTTTTTATTTTTATATTTTCTTTATATTTCATAAAAATTCCAACTTTTTTATTTCAGCCAGTTGCCAAGACAATATTTCTCATTTTCATTGTTTAACTTGTACTGTACTAAAACTACTAAAAAATGCATCTCAATGAAACTTAAATCACACATACACATATAGTTTAATAACAAGCTGACTTTTATGGACCAAAGTGGAGGAACACTTATTTATTTATTTATTACAAATTAGTTCTAAAATTATATGGAGACTTTTCAAGAAACTACTAGTTTTTGAAACTAATAACAAATAAAACAATAAATTAAAAAATAATAATATAAATAAATAACTCTAACAAATTATTTTTACAGAAACATTAATAGAAGAACACGTCTTTTCCCAGAATGTTCTCAAAGTGTTTAAAATAGACCCTAACAACATGGCAGCATTTTGCCCATTTATTTTAATATCCTTGGTTGCAGTTCAGTCATTCCCTTTTAAGATCCTGTAGGCCTGCTAAACTGAACTGAAACAAACAGGAGTCAGTTCTTAAATGCTGAAGTTTTCTCAACCCTGCGCAAAGAGTAATACTTAAAGGGATAGTTCACCCAAGAATGAAAATTTGATGTTTATCTGCTTACCCCCAGGGCATCCAAGATGTAGGTGACTTTGTTTCTTCAGTAGAACACATGTGATGATTTTTAACTTTAACCGTTGCAGTCTATCAGTCGTATAATGCATGGCAATGGTAACAACATCAGTTATATTTGAAAGGCCTTCATCTTTTTAACCTGTTGGTGGCAGTGTTTCCCACTCCTTGTCTCACTGCACATCAAACAATAACTGGTAGAATTAATAGAAAGCATACTTTTCTGCCTGTTTCTGTTTTTGCAGTAAGATATTATAGAAAAAAGAATTGCAAAGACGTCAACCCGGATGTGAATGAAATGGATAAGATGTATAGAGAAGACAGAGGTATACTGTATAATTGAATTATTATTACTTTGAACATTGTAAATATCGAGACATAAGCTAATGCTTTCCTTAATTGCAAAATGTTATTGTTATTGTTATTATTTATTTATTTCTTTTACTTTTGTATCTAATAAG